AGTGTGAGAGTGAGAGTGAGAGTGAGAGTGAGAGTGAGAGTGAGAGTGAGAGTGAGAGTGAGAGTGAGAGTGAGAGTGAGAGTGAGAGTGAGAGTGAGAGTGAGAGTGAGAGTGAGAGTGAGAGTGAGAGTGAGTGAGAGAGAGAGAGAGAGAGAGAGAGAGCGGGAGCGAGAGAGAGAGAGAGAGAGAGTGCATATTGTATACATATGTGCGGAGTGTAAGCTGCTGCCTGCGCCTGCGAGGCGACGCTCTTCGCCGCCGGGCGCTTCTTTGCTTGCGCTTGCGCAGGCCGCTTAAGGACCTGGTCCTCGCAGGGCTAGAGTTTAGGGTTTTAGGGTTTATTAGGTTGTAGGATTAAGGGTTTAGGGTCTTGATGCTTTCGGGCCCGGTAAGAAGGAGGCTTTAGGATTTTTTTGGGGGCATTGGCTCTTTGGAAGGATTGAAGGCTTCGGGAAGGTTGAGGGTGTCAGGTCATGACTAAGAAAAGGGCCTTATAATAGTTAGAATAGGGTTTGGGCGCCCATTATAGTGTAAGTATAATAGGGAACCCCCAAAATAGTACAGGTAATTATTTAGGCCCCTCACACTAGGTGCGTGGGGTTTAGTAAAGATGTCGCTAACGGAGCAATGGCTGTCGGCGGTGGGGGCGGAGAGTGCCAGAGTTTTGGGCTAAGTGGTAGCAGGGGGTTTGTAATATCAGTTCTCGGCTCGTTTGTGGCTGTGGTGGATGCTGTCAAAATGGATCAACTTCGGAAGTCGCCCGTGCCCCATCCCAATATCTTTACCATGCAACAGTGTCGCCAGAAAGTCGGATTCGTCGGCCCCTAGACCCTAAAACCCTAAACCCTAAACCCTAAAACCCTAAAACCCTAAACCCTAAACCCTAAACCCTAACCCCTAGGTACGGGCCTGAGCAGCCAAAGTGCTGAGGAAGGCAATCCTTATCTCTGACCAGCCGAAAGAAACACGGCCCTATGAGCTGCAGGCCAATATAAGCTCGTTTCCACCGTTTTTCCTGCCCAGAAAATCCCAGCAAGAATGGCCTGTACCCGAAGAAATCAAACGACTAAAGTTGGTATATGGACCCTTTTCTGAAAATGTTCAAATCCCTAAATCAAACCCGTAACCCCCTGTCGAATGCATGTGGGTCCTTTTTTGGCTTGCTCTTTGGCGGCATTGGCAGTGAGATGCGTGACGCTGCAGGATTTCGGGATAGTCTGTGGTATGCAATATAGGGGCCTCACTAATTAGAATAGAGTTTTTGTGGCCCGTTATACTATAACTATGATAAGGAACCTCCAAAATAGTATAGGTAATTATTTAGGCGTCTACGTTACCCCTGCATCATCTAGCACGGCTGTATTTTCGGATGTCTTGGCTCTATTATAGTTCACGGGCATGCATATTCGGGGTTTAGGGTGTAGGGTTTAGGGTTTTTAGTGTTTTAGGGTTTAGGGTTTAGGGTTTTTAGGTCAAGAGATGTGGGTTTGCATCGGGTCAGTCGGTCCCTGTCAAGATAATTTATAGGCACACAAAGACATATGCCGGACATTCTAATTTGCACCTGAACGCCATCTTGGACATACGGCTTGAGAGATTTTCCCACAGACAGCACGGTCTTCACGTCGCACTGTAGCAAACCTTGAACTCGAGCGGTGCTGGTGATGCCGATCCCTCTAACGCGACGCCCTAAGTCCTGCTGTCCCCCGAACGAGTAGGTCGCTTTAAGTACTTCTGCGAAGATGTCCTCGCACAAATAAACTGATCGTCTCAACAACACAAAGCAGCATCGTTCCTGCAACTGCCGAGAGTTGACACACTGAACGAAAGATTGCATCCTGTTGAGGTATGCTAGAAACCACCGCGTGCTTCATAAGGAAGGGTCTGCAAAATCCATTCCCCAAAATCCTATTCCTAAACCCTAAACCCTAAAACCTGAACCCCACACCCCCCAAATCCTGAAGTGGACAACCATGTGTTGCCTCAAAAAAGACCCCAGAGCCAGGAAGATGGAGGGCAGGGCCAGCTGTAATGCTCAGCGGAAGCCTCTATGGTACAAGGCTCAAGGCTAGGGCTTAGGGATCCCGGAATCCTTCACCCTTAAACCCCTTTAGGGTTTAGGGGTTTGGGGCCTACAACCCTAAAACCCTCAAGCCCCAAACCCCAAGCCCTACCCTCAAACCCTAAAGCCCTAAACCCTAATCCCTAAACCCTACCCTCAAACCCTAAAGCCCTAAACCCCGAATCCCCTAACGCCCTAAGCGCATGCCTTTTTCAGCTCAAGAACTGCCACAGGCCCTGGCAACAGCTGGGACACCTCCGTGCACGTACGGGGGGCTTGAATAATTGGGGCTTAGGGCTTGGAAGGTCTGAGAGCTTAGGGGTTTAATTGAGTGTTTAGGGATGTTAGGGCTGGGGGCTACGATGGGGCTTTATAGGGCTCTTCATAGGCTTCTTCTAGGGATCTATCGGGTTTGAATACGGTTTATAATTAGGGGGCGTTCAATAATCAGACTGTGGTTGCGGGGTATGTTCTAGTATATTTGGAACAGGAGACCCCAGGAATCGTACTCATCATTTTCGCTTCCTCACGAAGAGACGCTCACACGTGGATGTAGACCCCTAGAGAATACCTCAATGGGGGATAGTACTGATTTAATAGGAACAATCGCATTCGGTACTCAAAGCAATTCTGCTAACCGCCCCAACGGGAATACTCTTAAACTTTAAACTTAATTCAAGCAAGAAGAGGGGCCACTACTAACAACACTAAGAAGACTAGTAATTACCAATCAACCGGCCGACCCACCAACCAACCAAGCAAACAACCAAGTAACCAGTTTAGGTTTTTCTTTCTGAACTCCTTTTTCCGAAGTTTAGGGTTTAGGGTGTCGGGTAAGCAAGCAAGTAAGCAAGTAAGCAAGCAAGTAAGCAAGCACACAACCAAGCAAGCAAAGCAAGGCAACGAAAAGCAAAGCTAACCAACCAAACGCACAGGCAGGGTTGAGTTTCACGGTTTTTGTATCTGTTGACACCGGCGTAAAACCCGAAACCCTAAAACCCTAAACAGGGATATCGGTCTTTCTGGGGAATATATGGGCCTTAATAATTAGAACAGGTTTTTTTTTTTGGGGGGGGGGGTGTATATGAACAACAAATATAATGAGGAACCCCCAAAAACCTATTCTAATCATTAAGGCCCCTATATTCTAGAACCCTCATAGTAACCCTTATAGAACCCTTTAAGGATCCCTTTAAAGGAACCCTATTCGAACTATCAAGGCCCCTGCATTACCCCTAGCTGCGGGATCCTCCTGAACCCTAAACCCTAAACCCTAAACCCTAAACCCCTAACCCCTAACCCCTAAACCCTAAACCCTAAACCCTAAACCCTAAAAGTTTAGAAGCTCCTTAGAGGCAAAGGCCTGGCGTTGGAGCCCTTCACTTCCCTTAGCAAGCCCTGGCTCCAAAGCAGTTTAGGGGGTGTAGGGCTTCAGGGTCTTAGGGTTTCGGGCTTTCAGGGGTTTAGGGGTTTTAGGGGTTTTAGGGGTTTTAGGGGTTTTAGGGGTTTAGGGTTTAGGGCTTTAGGTTCAAACTAGGGTTCCCTAAACCCTAAACCCTAAACCCTAAACCCTAAACCCTAAACCCTAAACCTTCAGCATGAATCCCCCCAAGTCCCACGTCCGAACCGGGGGCCTTGGGGTTCAGGGCCCAGGGATCCAAGGTTTCGGGTTGGTTCAGGGTTTAGGGGTTTAGGGTTTAGGGTTTAGGGTTTAGGGTGGGTTCAGGGTGGAAGAATGTAGGGGCCTAAATCATTCCCAATACTACTTTTTTGGGGTGGGGTCCTTATTAGAATTTATAGCATCATGGCCCTCAAAACCCTATTCTCATTGTGAAAGCCCCTACATCATAGGAGTTTCGTTTTCCTTCATTCAGCGCATCCCACAGGGGGCAGATCGGGCATCCCGTTTCCAACACGCCCCTACCACCGAAATTCAAAAGGTTGATTGCAAGGCTGCCGAAAATGGAAATCTAAGGGCCTTAGTTCGTCATGAGAAGACGGTTCTTGATGAGGACAAAAAAGTAGATATTGTTACTTGCTATTTGGTGGACCATGCGGGTTTTTACACAGGCTTCAGGCCTTCTTGGTGACGACCTGGGCTGGCACATGCGCCTTCTCAATTCCTCGAGACCTCGTCTGTTGTTTAGCTATAAGGGCAGGGTTCCGGGTGTAGGGTCAAGGGTTTAGGGTTTAGGATTTAGGTTGGGTACTGCCCCCACTCAGTAACAGTTGGATAAAATGTATATTATGGATATATTAGGCCCTTAATAGTAGCCCTATTATAGACTGTTACTGTATGGGGGCAGCACCCAAACGGTTTAGGGCTTAAGATCTCGAGCGGAAGCGTTGGAAGACGGGGGCTCCCCTAAAAATGCGTTGAGGCTTTGGGGTTTTCCTTTCAAGCGCAGAGACGTCCCTTAGCACCTGCCCAATTGGGTTTCTAGGTTTGCAAAGGGGGTTCCCAGACCGAGGGTATTGCTGGGTCTGGCGGGAGGTTCTTAGAGACATGTACTACACACAAAGCTTCGTTGGAACTTCAGGGCTTTCAGCTTTTGGGTCACACGGGGATTTAGGAGTATCCGCGCTTCCTAGGAGAGAAGCAGAGAACTGCTTGCTTGGGGGGAGCCATTATCTGTGGTGCAGGGTGTTCTTGAGGCTCCAGGCGTAGGATTGCAGACAGCTTTGAGGCAACTGTTGGGACTGCAAGAGCTTAGGCTTTAGAGTTTCTATATATTCGGAAATGTGTTACATGGCTGAGGGTTATACCTATATGTACATACATATATATATATACATATATATATATGTATATTTATTTATTTTTGTACACGTATAGATATTGATTGTGGTCTTGATAGTTCGAATAGGGTACTGGGGTATAGGCCAAAACATCCAACAGGAACCCGGAGGATGAGTTTCGTCTGCAAGAAGGCCCCTGTATGATGTTCGACCATATGTTGTAATGTGCTGAACTCAGTCATATCAGATGCTATTATTACCTTTGCTGTTATCATAACAATAACAATAACAATAGTAATAATAATAATAAAATAAAAACGAAAATAAAAAATAATAGTAATAATAATAATGAAATAAATAACTAACTAACTAAATAAATAAATAAATAAATATATATATATATAACTAAATAAATAAATAAATAAATAAATAAATAATATGTATATATATATATATATTCATTGTGAGCTCCGAGGCTGGACGGCCGGCTCCAGAGCTGTGGAGTTCGAAGCTTTGGGGCGCTTGGGGTCTCTCGGAGTCCTCAAGGGATGAGGCTCCAGGGTTAAGGGACTGGAGTTTAGGGTTTAGGGTTTAGGGACTAGAGTTTAGGGTTTAGGGTTTAGGGACTAGAGTTTAGGGTTTAGGGTTTAGGGTTTAGGGACTAGAATTTAGGGTTTAGGGTTTAGGGTGCAGGGACTAGAGTTTAGGGTTTAGGGTTTAGGGTTTCGGGTTTAGGGACTAGAATTTAGGGTTTAGGGTTTAGGGACTAGAGTTTAGGGTTTAGGGTTTAGGGACTAGAATTTAGGGTTTAGGTTTAGGGACTAGGGATTAGAGTTTAGGGTTTAGGGTTTAGGGACTAGAATTTAGGGTTTAGGGTTTAGGGACTAGAATTTAGGGTTTAGGTTTAGGGACTAGGGATTAGAGTTTAGGGTTTAGGGATTAGAGTTTAGGGTTTAGGGACTAGAATTTAGGGTTTAGGTTTAGGGATTAGGGATTAGAGTTTAGGGATTAGAGTTTAGGGCTTTGGGGCCTAAAGTTTAGGGTGTAGGGTTTAGGGATTAGAGTTTAGGGTTTGGAGCCACTGATCCGTAACAGTTGTCTCCCCGAAACTCTTCCGCACTAGGCTGAAAGTCCCGGAGGGATGGGCTCCTGTATTGAAAGGAGGGAAATCTAGGGTGTTGAGGTCTCCTGTAGCATAACACTTCTATCCCAAAACCCTGAACCCTAAACCCTAAACCCTACTACAGGGAAGCAGCTGACCCTGTGAGACTCCACCCTCCCAAAAAGGGCCGAAGGCCGCAATCGCAACCTCTACTTGGAGGATCATGGGACTTAGTAAGTAAGGTTATAAGTACCTTAAAGGGAGTTATGATTGATTATAACTATAGTTACCCCTAAACCCTAAACCCTAAACCCTAAACCCTAAACCCTTATTTCTTACTAAGTCCCATGATCCTTTAAGCAAGCCCCCCAAAGGCGAAAAACCAGCTCCAAGAATGTGGTGCCCTTTCATAATGAGGGATAGGGTTTAGGGTTTAGGGTTTAGGGTTTAGGGTTTAGGGCTTAGGGTTTAGGGATGCTTACGGTTTAGGGTTTAGGGAATGAGGGATAGTGTCTAGGGAGGTTTAGGGTTTAGGGTTTAGGGAATGAGGGATAGGGTCTCGGGATGCTTGTAGGGTTTTAGGGTAGGTTTCGGGTTTAGGGTAGGGTGTTGGGCGCGATTCTGGTAGAAACATGGCTTTGAGGGAGTACTCTTACTAATTATTCAGACTTCTGTATTATGGGACCATGGACCCCTTCCAGAAATTGTGAAACCTGGATGAAGCACTGAACCAGGTGTTTTGGGGCCTGGGTGTCTTGATACTATGAAGATATCAAGGGACCCAAACAATAATGCATGAAATAAGAAGAGATAAAAAGAAAACCCAAGACAGACTATAACTTATGTTTACCTTGAGGCCCCTATCCCTACTGTTTGCGTATTGTAGGGGCCTCAGGCTGGGGTTTTGGGATCCTTCACAGCATGCTATAAGCAGGAGCCCTAAGGAATACTATTGGCTATCATCTAGGCTTCTGCATTTTGTGCTTCTTCTTCAATCTTTGGACCCTGCTTAAGACCTTAACTGGGCAACGGGCTCATGACACGCATTTCACTGCTCGAGTTGTCCAGAACCTGTGCTGAGGGTAGAAGGCTGCGGTGGTCTGGGTTTCGATTAAAGGAAACTTATAGGGCTTCTATAAGGCTTCTAAAAGGTATATAGACCTTCTTTCAGGCTCCTATAACGGTAACTACCCACCTGAAAATGTCCTGGAGGTTGTGGGGCCTGTAGATAAATTCAAATCCCTGCGAGCAATAACTGCAACTCCACAACTCCAAACCCTAAGCAGTTCTGAAAACCCGCAACCCGTTACCCTAAACCCTAAAGCGCCGCGTCTCTTTGGCTTCGGGTAAATAGAAGAGACCACGGCTTTGGGGCAGAAATTCGACTAGGGAACCCTCAAGAACGACTGTTCAAAAATAAAAACAACGTTTGGTCAACTAAAAGGTTCAAACAGCTTATGCAGGATCCGGAGTTGAACACCTTCACGGAAACGCTTGAAGCTTTAAACGGGGCTGGGGTTAACCTGGAACACCCGAATGCACGCGAAGTGGAGAGAGGCACACTTCAAAGCAGGGAAGCTGAAGCCATCACTTCAACCACCCAGGTCAACTAATGTAGCGGCCTTAACACTTAGAATATGGTTTGGGGGTATTAGGGTTTAGGGTTTAGGTTTTAGGCATTCTACTATAATTGTAACAAGGAGGTCCCAAAGCCGTATTCCAATTATTAAGGCCCCTACATTAAATCCTCAACCCGGCTTTGGGCCACACGAGGATCGAGCCACAGTCATCTATCAGCCCACTGCTCTGGAGATACTCCTGCAAAGAGGATTTTAGGCTGAGCTTGCCAGGGGTCTACAAGGGTTTGATGGGATTGACCAAAAAAAAACCCTTGCTGGGGTTTAGAACGGTCCTTTAAAAACTACAGCCTAAACCTAGCTGTAGTGCCCTGAACTTCAGCGTTTCGAATGCTTGGGGCTGAGTGCTGTGGCCGGGATTTTCCGGACGTCCGGGCATGGGATTTCGGAAAGCAAGCAGCCCTGCTGAGAGGCGAAAATCCTCCACCCAAAGCCCTAAATCCCAAAGCGTACAGAAGCCCCTGTGGTGACCCTGAAAATCCTTAGCTCCCTAAACCCTAAACCTCAAAACCCGCAACCCTAACCCCGAAACACTCAACCCCAAACCCTACCCTCTAAATACCCCAGAGCCCTTATCCGACCCTTTTTCGCCTGCAGGGCGGGGATGGCTTCCACCGACTTCCGCCAGTTTTTCCCAGTGAACCTTCCCAGGGGGTGTCCGCTAAGATTTAGGGTTTTGGGCTTTGGGCTTTGGGGTTTCTAAGGTTTAGGGCTTCGAAGGTTTAGGGTTTAGGGTTAAGCTTTCTGGTAGGATTCCACGAGCTTCTTCTGAGGCTTTCTAACCTAAGCACAAAAGCCCCCAACACCCGACAACCAAAACTCCCTAATCCAACAGTTCTAAACCCTAAAGCCCGAAATCTCCGAACCCTCCGCTTTGTAAACCCGAAACCATATACACGAAGACCCTGTAAACCCCCGAAACCTCTGACCCCTTCACTGCCGTTTAAAGCCGCCCGCACCCTGAACCCTGTCCCCTACTTCCTAAAGTTTTAAAACCTTATAGAACCGCTTCAAAACTGCTGTAGAACCCCTGCGAGACCCTGGTAGAACGCCTTCAATACCCCTCTAGAACCCTTTTGAAACCCTTCTCAAACCCCTTCTGAAGCTCTGATAGAACCGTAGAGGCCTGTAAACTTCTCAGAGCACACTTTAACGAACCCTTGCAAAACCCACTTGAAACCCTCATAGAACCCATTTCAAAAGTCCTTAAACCTAAACCCCAAACTCCCTAAACCCCAAACTCCCTAAACTCCCAAAACCCTAAACTCCCCCAACCCTAAACTCTAAAACCCAAACCCTTAACCTCTTAGCCTTAAACCCCTTCAACTCCCTAATTAAGCTCTGTAAACCCTAAACCCTAAACTCCCTAAACTCACTAAGCTCCTTAAACCCTTATTAACGCTTACCTAAACCCCCAAAAGTAGGTAAAATAATGGCCCAAGACCCATAAACGGCTGTTATTTTACATACTTCTGTAGTCCCCTAAACCCCCTAGTTAAGGTCTCTAAACTACCTAAACTCACTAAACTCCTTAAACCCTTATTAACCCTTAGTATCCCCTAACCCTAACCCATCCGGCTTCGAGAACCCCGCGAGCTCCAAGGCGCTAACTGTTTGCCGTCCTCGGAGGCGCGAGCGCGGCCGCGACCTCGGCAGAGCAGGTCGTAGAGAACTTGGGAACATCGAAGCCTTAGGGTTTTTGGGGGTTGTTAGGGTTTAGGGTTTAGGGCTTTTAGGGGTTAGGTTAGGGTTCAGGGTTTTTGGGGCGGTTTAGGGGTTTAGGGGTTAGGTTAGGGTTTAGGGTTTAGGGTTTGGGCATCTCTAATCCGGGACACATAGTCGAGTGTTCAGGGCTTCAGGCTTTAGGGTTTCGGTTTAGGGCTGTGCGGTTTAAGGTTTACGGCTTAATAGAAAGTTACGGCTAGGTGCTTGAGCAATTTAGGGGCACTCTCGAAAGTCCATGATTCAGCCATTCAGCGTAGCGTGTATACAACTCGAGCTACTAACTACTAGACCCAAAACCTAGAACGACTAGCTCCAAATCTACCCAAGGCTCACCTACATGTGTGCCTGACTCCCGTAGACTAAACCCAAACTCCATACCATCGAAATCCCATGCCCAACCCTAATGAAAACCGAAATCTTAAATACCATGAAGGTCTTTCTTTTGGGTTTAGGGTTTAGGGTTTAGTAGATCGAATTTGGGAGTCTCGGCGAACGAAGGACCAACGAACTCAGCCCCAATATTCAATAAAACCCCTCAGCACAACAAGTCCTGCAGAACCTTGAATGTAAGGAGGCCTCATCGGACCCTTAACGGAACCCTCACACACCCTGAACCCAAAACCCAAAAACTCAATAACATCCCAAAACCCAAACCCTAAGCACCAAATCCAAAACCCTAAACCCCGAACCCCAAACCCTAAACCGTAAACCGCAAACCCAAAGCCCCAAACCCTAAATCCCAAACCGAAGACGCTGCTGCATCTCAGCTGCGGATTCTGCTGCGACCAGTGTTGCAGCCACTGGCCGGCGATAGGCAGACCTCAAGAAAGTTCATAAACGTGTAGGGTTTGGAGTTTGGGGTTTAGGGTGCAGGGTATAAAATCTACAATAAACGCCCTTGAAAGGTGCTACAGGGTTCTAAACAAATGGGTTACATGATGTTTGATAGGCTTTCTCAACTGTTTAGATGAGATGCTTACAAAGGGGTTTTGGTTTACAGGACTTATTGGCCTCACACGGCTTTTACGAAGCATCATAAGACTTGTTCATTTGTTCTTTCAGGGTCCCGAAAGGATTTTGCAAGGGTTTATAGGGTGCCACAAGGGTTGCACTAGGGTTTTATGCCCGAAACCCCAAACCCCGAGCCAAAAGTACCCGAAGCCCTAATCTTAGGCCCTAAACTATCAACTTCCACAGTTCCCAAACCCCTACACCCTAAACCCTAAACCCTACAACCAAAAATCCACATTGGCCAGGATGCTTTTCGAAATCTCGGAGTCGATATGGTAGGCCAAATCCTTGGCAAAAGCCAGGACTTTAGTTATTTTCGGGTCTACGGTTTTAGGATTTACTACTTTCCATTCACCACTCTGCGGACGAACGCTCTAGTAAAGAATGAGATATTACTTTGCAGTGGGTCTCTTGTGAACTGCAGCCGGTCTCTTGCGAACTGGAGGCACCATTGCCTGGGCTTTGGCCTTTGCCTTGGCCTTTGCCTTGGCCTTCGCCTTGGTCTTCGCCTTGGGCTTTGACTTGGGCTTTGCCCTAGCCTTTGCCCTCTTATTTTGCCAAGCACCCCAGGTGACGACGGATCCATCACCAAGAATGGCAGCAAAACCGTTGAGATTGGCCTGGATCTGTTGCACATCCTTCAGCTGGTCCTGCACAGCCCTACTGTCACTGCCATACTCAGGATTGCCCCAGGTCACCACGGATCCATCGCCAAGACTGGCAGCAAAGGCACCGGCAGAGGCTTGGATCTGCTGCACATTCTTCAGCTGGTCCTGCGCAGCACCACTGTCACCGCCACAGTCAGCATCACCCCAGGTCACGACGGATCCATCGCCAAGAATGGCAGCAAAAGCGAAAGCGTTGGCTTGGACCTGCTGCACGTTCTTCAGCTGGTCCTGCGCAGCACCACTGTCACCGCCACGGTCAGCATCACCCCAGGTCACGACAGATCCGTCACGAAGAATAGCAGCAAAAGCCGTGTCACTGGATTGGATCTGCTGCACATCCTTCAGCTGATGCTGCACGGATCTACTGTCACCACCAAATTCAGCAGCACCCCAGGTGACGACGGATCCATCACCAAGAATGGCAGCAAAGGCAAAGGCAAAGGCTTGGATCTGCTGCACATTGTTCAGCTGGTGCTGCCCCAGTTGGCTTGGATCTGCTGCACATTCTTAAGCTGGTCCTGCACTGCACTAGTGTCACCACCATCGTCAGCAATGCCCCAGGACACGACGGATCCATCGCCAAGAATGGCAGCAAAAGCGCCGCCGGTGGCTTGTATCTGCTGCACATTAGTCAGCTTACCCTGGACGGCTCTACTGTCACCACCCTCCTCACCTAGACCCCAGGTGACGACAGATCCATCGCCAAGAATGGCAGCAAAAGCGCCGAAAAAGGCTTGGATCTGCTGCACATTCTTCAGCTGGTGCTGCACCGAACTACTGTCACCACCATGGAAAGGATTTCCAAAGGTGGCGACGGATCCGTCGCCAAGGATTGCAGCAACAGCGGACCTATTGGCTTGAATCTGCTGCGCATTCTTCAGCCGGTCCTGTGCAACACGACTGTCATCACCGTTGGCAAATAATTCCCAGACCGCAATCGATCCATCGCTAAGAATCGAAGGCTTGGACTGAAACTCTGCCTACCTGCAAGACCAGTGAGTCACCATCCTGCAGGCGGGCGCTCTTGATCGGCGAACATAGATCCAGAATGCCTCCAGATGAGTCCACTAGCCGCCTTTTCCCCACTTCGAGCGCTGCCTCTGCGCGACGTTTAAGGCTCCCCACTTGTTCATCCAAGTAAGCTGTCACAGTGGCTGTCCTGCCACTGAGCAATCCCACTCGCACGTTAATCGACATAATGCACGGCGGAAGCTAACCCTAAACCCTAAACCCTAAACTGCACAAAGGTTAAAAACCGGATTCGGGTTGTGGGGCAGCTTACTTTTCGGGTGCAACATGGTTGTATGCCCTAAACCCTAAACATTAAACCCTTAGACACATAAGGTGGCAGTTGACAGGCAGGAAGTGCCTGAGTGAGTGAGATTGCATGCACGGCTCATCGCTTGAGCAGTAAAGGCATTGGCTTGGACTCCAACAATGCTTCCGTCCTGCAGTTACAAGCCGTGACTGCATGTCGAGCTCAGCCATGCTTGCATATGTGCAAACCAGTTCGGGATACATCGCAAAACTTGAACCGAAACCTTCAAACCCTCAACCCTAAACCCTGAATCCCTAAACCCAAAACCCCTAACCTCATCTAACCCCTTAGCCCTACAGAGGTTGTCGGGAATTGGGGTTGCGGCTTGCAGGGAACGCAGCGTCAGAGCTCATTCTGAGTGCTCTAGGCCCTAGGCCCCGAGCCCACAAATTAATAAAGGGTCCAGGTGATCAGGGTTTTAGGGTTTCAGGGTTCCTTTAAGGGATCTATAAGGGATCTATAGCGTTCAGGTGTTCAGGGGTTTAGGGTTTAGGGTTTTAGGGTTTCAGGGTTCCTTTAAAGGCTTCCTTTAAGGGATCTATAAGGGATCTGAGTGCTCTTAACGGGGGTCTCTATGGGGTTTGGGGCTTGCAGGAGCCTGGGACCTCCTAAGGCGGCCTAGGGTTTAGGGTTTAGGGTTTAGGGTTTAGGGTTTAGGGTTTAGGGTTTAGGGTTTAGGGTAATCTAGGAACCTGATTAAGAAACCCTTGTCCTACAACACCGAAACATGACATAGGATCTGCATA